GTCTTTCCAGCCTGCAGAAAAGTTTACGATCTCCAGATGCTCAGGACCTGTCAAAATTCTCAATTAGGTTACTTTATAGTGATGTCTATGCCTAAACATGAAAATATAGCTATAACTCCTAAACCTCCAGGTGTTTTTAAAGGCACCAAGAGTAACATTTGGTTCCCCGATTATCATTATTGTTCAATAAAGGAAGTCAGTGTGATTGTTCCTGTTTTACAAAGAAGGCAATAAATTGTGAAACTTTTTTTCTAACTTTTGCTATTTGCGTTTGGAAGGAATAACTTCTTTATTCTTTCATCATTTAACTTTATTTTTGAAATGTTCTAAAAGTTCCTTGGCATACTACTGCTAATGATTGCTATCTAAATTTTGGAACGATGTTACAGCATTACCTCTTAATAATTATTAGATTTAATCTTTAATGTGCTCAAGTATTTATTGTGTGCACTGTAGCTCTTACTGCCTTTGATGTACAGTTTTTTTCAGTGAAAAGAATACTTTGTGGTATTTTTCCTTGTAGGAAAAGCAGAGGTGGGCAAGTAAAAACATCCTATGTTTCATGAGCAACTCAATTCCTAATCGGTAGTGAGTGACAGGCTTCAGTAGGAAGATAAAAATGTGTTTCCTAGAAAAGCTGATCCTCCTACCTTATTCAGCAGAAAAAGCATTTTGACACTGCCCATTTATCAAGAGCAGAGAAGATATAGAAACTCCATGGGGTCTTGTAAATCAGATGTTAGGAATATTAGACCTAGAAGGACTAAAGCATTGTGTATTAGTATGTATTGAGTCCCCCTTCCAGGTGGCAAACAGCTGCACCTTTTTATAAAACTTCAAAAATAAATCTGAAGTGCTTGCTTTCAAGAGATAAGTGTTATATTTAATTGACTCGTTCTCCAAACGTTATAGATTAGACCCCCCCCCCCAAAATATGGTGAATATTTAATATATTTGTTTTGTATTTCCAATGGTCAACAGAATAATGAAATTCCTTAACTACCTCTCTTTAACTTGCATGAAGAAAGCCCGGTATGTTGCTAAATCGCTTTTCACTGGCCCTGCCGAGAAACAACTTTAATCCTTGTTAGAAAATTGCAGAGTCTGGGCCTGACAAAGAGCTCATGCTTGGTGCATTGTGAGCGCTGGGAGCGGGGCGAGGGGAGCCCTTTACAGCTGCGTGCCTCCAGCCCGCCTCAGCTGGACTATTTAGGCGAGGAGGTTTGTCAATTCCTCCCGACAAAGGAGCGAGTTTTTCAGTGCCTGTAGCCGCCGAGCCCCGGTGGGGATCAATGGTAGCCATTCAAGCTGCACCCTCTTTCATTGCTTTGGTTTGTTAATTTAAGACTAAAGGTCCACTGAGGGGGTTTAGGGTGTTTAAGAAAGCTGATGAACTGTTTAAGAAATCTGATGAACTGAGAGCGTTTATAGCCCTGGTGTGGCAACTATTGGCTCTGAGGGAGCTGTGTCCTTGTTGACCCTCTTGTTATTAAAAATGCACAAGTGCTGCGCTTCTCAATATTTCAGCACTCTTTCATTGTCAATACCACCTTCTGAGCCCTTCAGCTTGTTGCTTGCTCTAAAGATCTTCTTAGATTGGGTTTGAAAACTTCACCTTAAACACTAGATTAGACTGATGTTCTGTTTTCCGTGCTCCTGTTGATTTGTTGAACCTTCCCAGGGCTGGAAAGCAAGTAGCAGCTTGATGGGGAGATGGGCTGCTAATATGATTTACCAGTCTACAGTCATGCACAATAAGTGTGAATAAATACAGGGGTCTCACAGAGTCAACCCTGGCCTTTCCTTTTCTCGTATTTTTTTTTTACTTTAAAAGAGGTATCTCAGGAAAATGAAGTGAGTAATGCATGCCCTTACAGGAGCTGGATGAGCTATGAATAAGAGAAGGGGGGACAGGGAGGCAAACATATTTTTGTTAAAGTGGTTGGCTGCTGTTATGTGCTGATGTGAAAAAATATATAATATACACTCACTGCGTTATTCTGGCATAGAGGACAACAAAGAATAAGCCACTAATGCCTGATCGTTGACATCTGCAAGAGTTGTATTGTCCTTCCAGTGCTATTGATAGAAGAGGGAAAGTGATTTTTTTTTAAATCAGTTAGAAGGATTTTTTTTTAATCACTTAAAATCTTGTAAATCTAAGGGCCGTTGTCTAATTGCTGAAGCTTATGATTTCCATATGTCACAGTAGATGCATCTCTCCCTCTATAACGTGCTCTTGATGGTCAAAATGTGTGGCCTTGGATTCCACTTCTAAAAGGCATTTGCAGTACTGTGCATTTTAGCAGACTCCAAGAAAAGTAATAGGGAAATAATTACATTGCACCTTATGCTGCCCAAAAGATTTATGTTTATGCAGAATCAGTCCTTCTTAAGCGCTTAGAACTGGTAAGTATAAGGCCAATAGTAAACAGGAATTCTATCCAGAGGTGCCTCTGGAAGACTCTAAAAATATACTTGATGTGATTTTTTTTTTATAGGAAATACTGTGACAATTCTTCAAAACAAGGATTTTTTAAAATATAATACCAGTTATATTTTTTCTGAACAATGTATTTTAATGCAGGAGTAAGCAGTACATTAGAATCATTTTGTGACCATTGAATTATATATTTTTATCAAGAGGTTAACATATTAAAACTGTTACTTTGTTTTCATTCAGAAATTGGAGAAGCAAAATTAATTCTCTTTACTTTAGTTTCTTAGCTTTGTTCTCAGCACATGTAAGTTTATCACAGCTATACATGATGTGCCTAATTTAAACTGCATCCATTTTCATTTTCTGAGTGGGTTTAAAACACATGCTTTGCCAGAAAACTAGGATGAGGTCTATTCTCAGTAATCCTTCTACACCATTCAGTGGTGTTGCATGGGGTAATCAATCACAGAATTTTCAGTCAGGTCTGTAGTTTGTTCATGCGAGCAAATTTGAGCTCCTTCTAGTTTCTACCAAATGTTTGATATATAGGAAATACAATGTAGATGTGTTGTTAATTTCTTGTTGTGGAAGATGATCAGATTTGAGAAAATTCCTCTAATAAAGTCATGCTCTTCATCTTAATTATATTAAAGATTAAAAACTATAGCATCTGAGTGATAGTATAGTAATTGGGCTCATCTTATTGCAAAGTAAAAATAGTAACAGATATTTTGGGCAGAATGCTTTGTATATGAATTTTTGATTATTATTAGATTAATAGTATTCACCAAATAAATAAACTCATCTTTTTTTTTTTTTTTTTGTATACACCTATATGCATACAACAGCTGTCTTGTAGAGTTTACAGCTGCCACTTAGTAACAACTCTTTCACGTTAAAGAAGTTTTACAGGTAACTTGTAATGGAATATATAAAACTAGCATGCATGCAATGGGTGCAATAGTGTAAATCCTGTAAGAGTGTCATTCAGTGATACAAAATGGTATTTTATGGGTACAAAATCAGTGCTACAGTTTATTGAACAAATCAAGTTAGTTGTATGAAAAAGGTAGCCGTCTGCATTTTTGGGGTGTATTAGTTCACTTCTGTAAGATAATAAATTAATAGGAGTAACTTTAATAAAATGTGCAACTAATTTATTTCCAGTGATTTATAATTAAACTATACTTTAACGTGCTAAAAACATTATGCTAGAGAATCTCAGTAAATGGAAGTCAATATTATATGAAAATCTTATTTCAAATATCTCTTACAACTGATAGTTACAATGAGATGAGAATTACTTTATTTGCTGTAAGGAAAAAGTATTTAAATATATTTTCTGTGTGCATGCCAATCTTGTTCCAGAAAGCTTACTTTTTGATTAAAGAATTCTGATTTTATCTTTAGTTACATCCAGTAGCTAGTAATTTGTCTTCATTTTTTCAAAATGTATTTTATTTTACTCATTAATATAGAGCTTGCTAATGAGGCGTACAATAGCCTTCCTTTGAATTACTTCACAGTATATACGTTGTATAAAATGCTGTGTTTTAAAATATGCACAATGTTTCTTCTCTTTGCATATCAGTTTGTTTTGTAAAGACACAGGAAATTACATTAGAAAAGAATTTAAGCTTCTTCCCTGTGGGGGAAGAGACTAGAAACAGAGCTAAGACACAAACTCTCTTAATCTCTTACTGCTAAAATGAAAATAAATCCCTTCCTTTTTATAGTTTGACTAGATGGCATCTGGTTAGTATTTTACATGGCGGGGAGGGAGGGGATGCTACAACTATGGTTAGCAAAATCTCTTTTAATCCAGTTAATGTGAAAGAACTATTATAGCAGCTATTTGGATTTTTCTTTTTTTACGGTAACACGGACATCAACAACAGAGAGCTTATTCTTACCATGTACATTTGTAAAGCTTTGAGTGAAAACATGCACATGCCTAAAACACAAAAAGGAAATAAGGTAGGCTGCAATTATAATTAGTAATGAACATACATAAAGCAAAATCTTAAAATGTTTGTTTAGGGAGGGGTAGAGTAGAGTTTTGGTCATACTTGCATACAGTTTGGACGGATTTTTGATGTTTTTCCTTAATAAAGTGATCTGGAAGAAAGAAGTAGGATAGATTCCTTATTTTGTTTGATCTTGTTTTTCTCTTTGGTTTGGAAAATCTAGGTATTGCAAAATTTCTCTAAAGATAACCTACCCAGTTCTTCTCCTGCTGTTTTAGCTGTCAATTCTTTCATGTAAGTGTGTTTAATACCCATTCTTACTAACGGATAGTAAAGTGCATAACGCTATTTTACATGAAAAGGTTGTAACTGAAAGATAAAATAGCTGTTGCTAATTCATATAAAGAACAGTCTAGGTCAAGTTATTTGATTTCCTACTGACCCATGCCATTCTCTTAACAGGAAATTATATCATTGTTGACTTCAAGTGCTAATCTGTTATCATTTCAAAGTGTTTCATTACCTCTCATTACCAAATCTGTTAAATGAATACTGCAGGGTGGTTGTTTGTATTTTTTTTCCCTTCTTTTCAGCAATGGTATAGCAGCTCCATGAAAGTCATATGCATGTGGTTGGCTGATAGATTAGACCTTCAGCTTCACATCTACCAGCTGAAGACTCTCATCAAAATAGTGAAGGTAAACAAAATGTATTTGAGTTAGATTGCATAGTAAAGAGAGAAAAGTGATGAAGTATTAGCGTGGATAAGCATAGGTCACCCTAAAAGCTGAAAAAGATGAAATAAAATTGCTGACTTGTGTAGGTTTTTTTGCATATTTGTAGCAAATTTGAGGGGAAAATTATTAAAATCTCTAATGTTAATTTTTGTACACTCATAGTTATCATACGCTGTTCACTTTGGTCTCGATGACAGTTACATGAGTAGAAGTCTTGAAACTCAAATTATTCCAAGGAATTTTAGCAGTTTACTGCTAGCCATACAGAAATGCTATGTATTATTTCTAAGAAATTATTGTTTGTCATATTCTTGAATTTTGTTTTAGCTTAATAATCACAATAGCATTCTTTCTATTTTTTTCTGCACTTCTCCAAAAAGTAGAAGGTAACTGTTTTTTCTCTTTTTTATGATCATATAATTACTAGGTTCAATCGGAAAACAATATGCAATATATCGTATAAAATCTTTCAACCTCTGGGATCAGTGTCAATTTGAGTAAGGATATCAGTCCCTCCAGTCTGGTCTTCTGTCATTTATACTGGCCAATGTCAAATCTTTCCAAAGAAAGTGCAAAGCACCTTGCAATAGGCAGTTGTGGGTTAACCTACCATAAAGGAAAGTGTTTTCCTAACCCCTTTTTAGGGGTTAGTTAATACCCTTGTGCAGGAGACTGGGAGCCATTTCAGAATTTTTCCTTTTTAATTCTTTCTCATTTAGCTCTGAACATTCTTGTTTTCTGTATAAAGGTGCAATAAGGACCTGTGGTCAATGATGACCCTGTTGTCTCCAGAGTATTTCTTTATTAAGTTCAGATGAGACTGTAAAATGAGAAGAATTTTCACTTGCGGGCACTAGGATTACAAGTGAAACTTTCAGCATTCACTGCTATTAAAAAGAAAAAAGAAAAAGCAAGACAGACAGAGAGAGAGAGAGAGAGAGAGATGTAAAAACAGTCTTAATAATCATGTCATCAAGGTTCTCTGAGCCATCCAAGCTTAGCTTTGCAATTTTCAACCTTAATAGCTGATTTCTCTGGGAGTAGGATTTGGTTCTTCATTTTATTTTGTGTCAAGATGGCAAAAGCATTTTGCTGTTTGTGGTTGAAATGAATGGTTCTTGTGCAGGATTTAAAGCTCTTCTCAAATGAAGGTAGTTGGCTTCCTCTGAGGAAAAAGGTGTTACAGGATCCAAAAACTGCCCAGTGAGGTCTAAGAATGGGCAGATTAGATTATTCCAGTTAAATAACATCCTGAAGATTAAAGAAAAAGGCTCTTTTCAAAGTTCTTATAAATTACAAAGTCCGGTGAATCAGCAGCACTGTCAACCTTAATTCTGCAGCTTGGCACAATGATTAGCTTTGTTTAAAAGAAGTATACTCCCAGTGGTGATGGGAATGCACCAGCTACATCAGCAGCCTTTTTGTGCCTGTATACGTGGTTTACTTTGCACAGGAAGTCTAAGTGTGTTTACAAGTTATTCTGTAGCACTGTTTATGAGCACAGAAAATTGAAGAAGATAGTGTCAGTCATCGAGCTCCCAGTCAATGTATTGGAAGACAGCAGACTTTGACTACCTGTGTTTTGGCTGCTGCAGAAGGCAAAACCAGTAAAACAGTATTTCAGCAAAAAGGAGGCCTCCAGGAAATTAAGAAGCAGTGGTTAAAGAGGAATACTATAAGAAGTTTTCACTGTAGCAGCCTTGCTGGAGAGGCATTCGTGGGTTCCTCCAAACTATGGAGTGAATGGAGGTGCTTCTCTGCTTGCCTTTATAAAGACTGGGCAGCTGTGCTGGCCGTCAGCTCCTTTTCATATGCTGTGAATTAACATATTTGAGTGGAAGGTATGGAGAACTTTGGAAATATTCTAAAAAAAGAAATAGAAGGTAATTTTTAAAGGCTAAGGAGTGAGTAAAAAAACAGGTGATCCTTTCATGTATGAACACAGCAATGGCATTGTTAAGAATGACCAGAAGAAGAAAACATTGCTTTTTCCATTTTAAGCTGAGATCCAGGGATGGTGGCATAAAGGTATCATTAGATGTCTGAGACACATGCAGACACACATGACTAAAGAAAGATCAGGAGTCAAGAGGAAAGTTGGAGAGAAATGAGAAATTAAGCTTGGAAGTGAGCATTATTATCCTGCAAAAATATGTCAAGAGAAGAGCAGTGGCTGAACCCAAGAGTGCTGGACTGAGAATGGGAGAAATAAAATGTAAATCTGAAAGAAAATGCTGTAGGACCTGTTAACAGCATAAAAGGAAATTGAATGTACAGTGTTATAAAAAGAGAATGCAATGGTGACACTTGAAAAAGACCAGGTAGGGTACTCACAGAAGTGTATGAGCAAAACGTAAGCTGCATCCATTGACTCTAAAGTTGACCTATGAAAGTCAATAAATCTCAGTTGCAATGATTCAGACAAGGTTTAAATAATCACCATAGATAGTGGCAGAAAAAAAATCTCCCAGTGGAATATTACCCATTTTTGAGAGGTGTCTTTTGCAGTTCTCTGAAGAATTGAGTAAACCAGCATCAGCTCTTCTTTTTCTTTTATTTTTCTAAGGGTTGTGCACAGTCTCCTCCTTCAGGGGAATGGGTCTGATAGGCCTTTAATTATTTTCTGTTTCCTTTTTCCTCTAGTCTCTTCCATAAACACTGGGAACTCATAAAAACAGGGTACAGAAAATAAAAAATGAGATATCCTTCTTTAGCTTTTTAGGCTAAGTGAAGGAAAGGTTATTTCAAATATTTCACAACTTAAAAAATAAGGAAATAAAAGTAAGGAAAATAAGGATGATTTTCCATATGTCCACTTGAACAAATCATCAATGAATAATGCAATTCCACTCAGAATTCTTGCTTGATACAGAGCCAAAGAAAATAATAGTGTCTGCTGGGTCATAGGAAGGTTGCATATCAAGTAAACAAAACTTTGTCAAGTGGGAAAAAAAAAAAAGGAAAAGACTAGAGTAGGCATTACTTAGAATGTAAATTAATGTTTCAACAGACCTGAAGTAGTCACAAGAGAAACTGTTATATCATAGAATCTAATAGCATAATCTAAATCTATCCTAATCTAAAATTTAATTTAATTTTCAATATATCATTTACAAATATAAAGGTTAATACAAAAAAATTTTGGGGGGGCAAGAGCCAGACATTTGCATTTTCTGTAAAATAACAAAACTACTTGTAGCCAAATTCACGTTTCACTATATAGTTAAACAAAAAATCTTTGTTGATTTCTTAGTGAATAAATTAGAAAAAGTAAGTTATTGAAAAATGTGCATGCTGTTACAGAAATGTTGAACAAAATGCGACCTCTTAAAGGAATGACAATCAAAACATGGTTTGTGCATTCTCTTCTTTGTGTTCTTAAGGTGAAAAAAGGTGGTACTGCTTACCTTGATGTGTTTTTGCAAAATTCTGCCTGCAAAATGTTATGACCTGAGCCCATGAAATAATAGCTTTTTCACCATTATTATCACTAGCAGAAGTTGCATCATTGCTGGACCTAAGTGTCGAAAACATCTATGGGGGACTGGTCTATCCAGGGAAGAGCTGACTCGTGAGAAAGGTTGTTTTTTTTTTTTAGATAGTGCTCAAGAAACAAAAGATGGTGAACACTCACTGAAAAGAAAAAAAAAACACCAATACACTCACGATCTTGGGCTTGAATACTCAAGCAAATTTGTTTATCATCACATCTACCTAAGCTCACCAGCTAACTTTTTTTTTCTGTGCACATGTTAATGATTAATCATAACTGGAATTATTTTCTATGTATCGTGAAGCATTGTCACTGATTACTACATTTTCAAATTAAAAAGCAATTTTGAGTCTATCCTTTTTACAAAGTTCAAACAGAATTTTTAAATTAATTTCTAGAAATTTCATGCAACCCAGGAGCTAAAACCCCAAAATCTTTAGCAAAAGCCAGCTGTTAGATCCGTAACTAAGAAGAACGAAGCTGTTCTGCTGGCATGCTAAAATAGGCCACTGTATAGTGGAAAACTGCTCTGACTTTCTTAACTCCAATTCGAAATGTTTTGTTTTTGCCACAGAAAACCTACCGAGACTTCAGATTGCAAGGTGTATTGGAGGGAACACTGAACAGTAAAACCTATGATACTGTTCACAGCCGGCTGACGGTAGAGGAAGCTACAGTCTCAGTCACAAATGCAGGAGGACTTCAGGGCATTACTATGAAAGACAGTGATGAAGAAGAAGGATGATATTATTTGCTAGGTGTTTGGAGTTCTGGGGCGATGGTTTCATTTAAAAAAAAAAAAAGAAAGAAAGAAAGTAGGGTTATCAGAGGAAAATTGCCAAGGATGTTTTGGTTGTAGCATATTTTAATGTATAGCTTTGCTGTGAGAACACTGGCATGAAGTCTGAGTTCCACTTGTGATTATGTTTCTTCCCCTTTTGTTTGTTGCCATTTGTTCTTGTATCTCCATCAAATATTGACGTCCTGTGCAGAAAAAAAATGTGTGCCTCACTTAAAACACACCTATACAGGAAATCATTCTTGGAACAAGTCAGTGCCCTAGGTAAAAAATAGTGTATTTTCAGGATTACACTTTGTTTACTTTTTTTTCTTTTTTTGTGCTTAATTTTTCATTATTATGTGATGTGCATTAAAACCTTTAATCTAGGTTCTTTGTATTTTGAGGTCGGTATATAAGTAGTAGGACTTCAAGGACAGTCAAACACATACAAACTACTTAGGAGTGTTGTTGTGTCTTCTCTTCCCCAGCATTTATTTTGCAAGTTTAAGGATATCTCATCATGTTGGGTGTCAGTAAGCTTGCCATCACTGTTTCTATTTCTGTGAAAGATTTCAGGCAATAAGAACACATGTTGTCGTGACCCCTTCTGTATCTATCAAAATTTGTATAGAATTCTAAAAATAAAAGATGTTTTGAATATTTCAAGCTGTTTGAACTGTTGTATGGATTCCTCAGGGAAAAGTCATGGTATTTGGCTGGTAAGTTGACACAGCCTCCTGTGCCGGGCCCAGGCCTGGGCTCCACTGCCCTCCCGGCAGCAGCTGCCCCGGAAGGGAGCCAGCACCAGCAAGCGTGGAGAGCCCTCAGCATGGGGGCTGAGCAGGCATGGAGGGGAGACTCTTCCCATGCTGGTTAATGGGTGCAAGCAGAGCAAACCACCCCTGCTGGGGCTGAGCAGGCCAGAGCCATGGTGGCTTTGGAGTGTGGAGGGTACAAGGGGCGAAGGGACAGGGAGCCCAAAAGGCAGCCTCAGTCAGCGAGGGACAGAAGAGCTGCCGTGGCCCCAGCAGGGGCTTCGGTGGTCTCTGGGGCTCTGGCGAAAGGCAAGTTTCAGGGGACGCCAGGACGGGAGGTGAGCACAGAGCAGCAACAGGTCTGGGTGCACAGGGCCGGTGGTGCTATGGAGGGGCACGCTTTTGCTACCAACACTTTACATTCACATTGCCAGTTCTCATAATCTCGAGGCTGGACAGAGCACCGGAAATCTGAATGATATTTTCCACCACTGCCAGGCTCCCAGATGGGTTTGCTGGTTTGGTCTTTAACCGCTAGAAGAGTCGTGTATCTTTTCCTAGGACCTGACCTGCTCTGTTGTCTTAGGACTGCCGCCAGTTCATGGCAATTTACAGCATCAGAAAGGCAAGGTGGGGCTCCAGCTGAAAACTAGTCTTGGTGAAGGATAGCCTGCTGAGCAAGGAACTTCAGCCCCAGCCTGGCTGTGGCACACAGCAGGGTATGGCGAAAGCTGGGCTACCCAACGTGAGGTCCAGCTCCCAGACTCAATGAAGCAGAAAGAGAGGTCAGTGCAAGTCAGGCCCAGAGGGAGCATGTCTGTAAAGATCCCCCTGCTTGGTCCCCCTTCCTTTCATTACGTTCTTGAGACCCTGTAGAGGTGCCAGTTGCAGCTGGGCCCAGGCAGGTCTCCCTGCAATAGCCCAGCAGTGCCTGCTGAGGCTTCCAGGTGCAGTGGCATGACTTGAATGAGCTGAGACGAGGTCCATGTAGGACTCTACTGTAGGCAGCTGAGTGACTGCTCTCCTCACACTTATCTGGTAAATTATCTGTGAAAAGCTCCTAGCACTCTACCCCAAGCCAAAGACTGAGTTTTGCTGGCCAAGAGGCCCAGAGGAATATGCTGTTCCTCTCCCATTTTTTTCTGGTACCTGGGGCACCTTTCAGTGGGGGTATCAGGAGTTTTTAAGGGCCTGAGGCGACAAAAGGGAAGGAATTGGTGTTAAAACTGGGCACTGGCCCCAGCAAGTGGCTAAGCGTGTGGATGCATCATGGGAAACACTGCAACAGAAGTGGCCTGTCATGAGAACAGCCCACAAGGTGATGGAGCAAACTCTCCTTCAGCTGAGGACTAACCTTGCAGCAACCCATCTGCCCAGCCCTCTTAGCCAAAGTTGCTATTGAAAACAAATAGGTTTAACTCACCTTCCCGTCCCCGTATGGTTCGTGCTCTGTCCCAAATTATCATCAGGCTGAGAAGAGTTTCCTGGTAATGCTAAAAAGTGTCCATACGAATAATAATTTGGGCTATTACAGATTAGGTTATAGCAATAATTTCCCCTATCAGGGCGCTGAGGGCACTAATAGGCCTTACTGTTCTTGTCCAGCCTCCCTGGAGCCTATTCCCCACTGCCCAGCCCTGGCCCCATTTCAGCCCAGCCAGGGCAACCAGTTCCTACCCCACAACACCACAGCGGTGCTAGCTCTAGCCCAGCCAGGCCCTGCCCATGCCCAGCCACAGGCCCCTCCAACCCTGTCCCCTGGGTGGCCTACCACGCAGCCTGACCCCATCCCTATAGCCCTACCTGGCTGTCGCAGGGCTGTGTCTGACCCCTGGGCCTGATTCTGACTCGTTTGCCCTTAGACCTGCTTTATCGCCACAAATTGTCTGGTGATTCATCCTCTGCCACCCTCTGGGACAACTCTACTTGCCTCATACAGGGGCTGTGGGGCTAGGGCTGGGTCCTGGCCCTGCCGGATGTGTTATCATACTTGGATCCCTGTCTGCTAGGGAGCAGCCAGCCCTCTCTATGCCCTGACATCACCTTTAGAAAAAAAAACCCTATGAATTTGTGTGGGCATGAGATATCTTTAAATTTCATGATGCCTGTCACATGTACCACCAGCTGTCCAGTGCTACACTACACAATTTCATCTGCATACAGTACTTGCGTGGTGTGTCTGTGAGTAACACAGCAATGAAGAAGGAAATAGTTAAAAAAAAAAAAGCATTATTACTATGAAGAACTTGGAAGATGTCACCAATTTAGGGAAAATTAACTCAAAGTGTGCAATAAAATGTTAAAAAGAAAGCGCTGCAGACATGACAGGAAGATAGGTATGGAAATGATAGCACCCCAAAGGTCATTCCATCTCTTATTAGGTCACATATTTTCTCAGTAACTCGACGTGTAAAACTGTAAGACAATGTCAAGCTTGAGAAGCCTGGTGAGTATCTTTGTGACAATTTCTGGATCAGGCTCTGCCACCTCAAGTAGCCAAGGAGAAACCCTGTTGACATGAATAGAAGCAGGGTCCAGTTTTGTATTTTAATTTTTAATTTTCATTTTAGAAACCTCCGCACACTCCTAGAAGCTTGTGACCTTCAGGGAGAAACGAGCACCTCCCCTCGCTGTGCAAGGCAGCCAGGGGTGCGCCGCCGTACCTCGTCAGGGAAGGGGGGCCAAGAGCTCTCCCCCGTCAGATATCGCTTCTCCCCTCCTCAGGTTCAAGGAGGCGGACAGAGGGGGGTGAGGAAAGCCCCGGGAGGACACCTGCAGCCACAGGGCGGGTTTGGAGTGCCAAACCCCAGGCCTTTAGCCTGGCATGCAGGGGCCCCGGCTGCGCCCGCAGACCTCCGGAGCGGCCCTCGCCTGGCGACCCCACTCGCTCTTGCGCTAAGGCTTTCCTGCCGCTTGCTACCCCCCCCACCCCGATAGCCCGAGATTTACCCTCGCGCAAGAAAAGGAAAGACACAGGGTGGTGCCACCTTTATGCGATTTCCCACTCTTGGGGCGACTTGTTTAGGCCAGTGCCCGGCAGTTCCCTGCCGTTAAGATTGCTGCTTTTTGAAACATCCTGCGCTTTAAATCAGGACCTAGCAGAGACCGGGCAGTTCCTGTTGCAATAGCCGGCACAGCTTCGGAGGACGGGGCGAGAGGGAGCGCTATAGCCAGGGGACGGGTGGCTTCCAAAAGGCGGGGAGCTCAGCACCAGCTCTCAAAGAAGGTTCCCTCCTTCTCTCTGGTAACATAGGACCTACTCAAAAGCGTCCTGGAGTCCCGGAGGAACCTGTGTTTCGTTAAGCGGTAGGTCAGGCCCCGGGCGTTTTCACGCTGCGGCGCCGACCAGAGGGACCAGCTCCGCTTGTGCGGTCCCAGAGCGCCCAAAGTCTGCCTTTAACACCTGTGCGTGGACAGTAAATCACTACAGTGGTAGTGATTTTACCAAGGCAGGGCGTACTCGTTTTGTAACTTCCAAAGGGGTTGTGAATCAAACGACTAACAGCAAACGTGCGCATATCAAACGACACGAGCCACAAGCCAGCAACTGGAGAGCCCTCTTCCAAAGAGGAGGTTAAATTCGTTTTGTGCAAACGGACGGAAACTGCCCAGCCAGCCGAGAGTGTCCGCAGAGGCGTTTCAGATGCCTCGTTTTACAGAGCGGAGTTCTCAGTTAACTCGGCCTTCCACCGGCGTGTGGGAGGTTTGTTCAAATATAAACATGCAGGTTAAAAATCCCAAAGTTTTTTTGCCTTAGAGGAAAAAAAAAATGTTCCCCCAGAGGACGCCGAGGCGGCCCAGGTCTCCCCAGTGCCGGTGTGGCGGGCAGGGC